GATAGCTGGCCAATCAGAGCACACCTCGCTTTTCAGACCGATGAGCTTTGTAAAAATCAACGCGTTTCAGAAAGCCGGGGCATAGAGGAGAAACAATAATGTACAGTATGTGGAAAATAATGTGTTTTTGAACCTTAAACCGCATAAACGCATTTCGTTACACCAAATACACAAAATAATGTTCTTTTTAGCAACATCATATGACCCCTTTAATTATATATTTTGTTAAAAGCGTTCATAGTGATGTGATGCTCAAACCGTACGTCAACCATGAGGTATTTGAATGTAACTACTGTAGATAGTAGTTCTACCTCAATGTAGATAATGGCATAATTTGACCGCAATTACAAGCAGGTTCTTTCATGTTTCAGTATGGTACTCTTTCAGAAGGCATTAAAAGCCATTTCCACCAGTAATAATCACGCTTAATTGTGGAAAACATTTGGGGATGTGAACCCGCTCTAGCTGTACCATGAAAGGAGATTTTAATATACAGTATATGCTACTAAAAAACAATGAGTTCACTTTTCTTTTGGCCTCTTCTTTATTACAACCTCACTGTCTCTAGTTCTTTATAGCCGTTTTACTGCTCGGCTGCCCCGGTTTCTATCTCCCTCCTTCTTTGTCTCTGTTTCTTGCCCTTTTTGCTATAGTGTCTGCTAGCATCCATATGTGCTCATAAAGGTCACCTCGCCCTGCATAAATCTGCCCACCCTGTTATGCTAATGCATAGATAATTAATTAATGTTATGAGGCTAATTAATAGTCCACATGCAAATGGAGGGATAAATAACCTTATAATATGCCCCATCACACTTGTTGCAGCATAATCCTATACAGTCAGGAAATTATACATAATTTATGCTAATTGTGCTGAAGATTTCCTCCCAATATCCCTGTCCTGCTTTTACATGACACTTGCCTTGAATATTATCAGTAATTGAGATTAATGATAATACGGATGATACGTATAAGGATAATGTAGACTGAATATGAATATTAGATGAGGATTATTTTAATTAATATTAGGGATCTTTATTATGGTTTATGTGGTGGATTAATATGACGATGAATATAAATTTTGCTTTGTGCATGATAGCAATAAATTTGATGGATAATCTGAACAAAAGCAACAAGCATCCCCAAAGGTGGGTTCCTGTAACCATGGCAACGGCTCAGTGACAGCTCTGTGCCAGTTTTTGATGCATGGAGGCTGATCTGTTATTTCAGATGAATTATATGCCATGCATTAATGGGTCAAGGCACGCCGTCGACAACCGTTGATTCATGGTGTTTCACACTGCGGCTCTGGCTTGCGTAAGCTGTCAGTTCTGGCCTTTTTCAGATAAAGCATCTCCCTCTGCTGGTAAAAAAAAAAAGCATTACTGCATTGTGAAGAGGTTTTTATTTCGAAAGTGAATTGTAAAACTTTCTCTTTGATGGATACAATCACTGTAAGAAGACGAAAAAGAGGCTTTGGAAGGATAAATATACAGTATGTATGTGTATGTTTGTATAAAACCTGTTTCACGGGCAATATTTTCTAATGCTTCCCACAATGCAGTGCGCTTTGCTCCATACCGGCCACCGGACATCGCTCTGAAGCCACTTCTCTTCGAGGTGCCCAGTCTGACCCCCGATGCTGTTTTCACCGGTCGAGAATGGCTGTTCCAGGAAGTCGACGCTTGTCTACGCAGCAGTGAGTCCACTGCCAGTCAAGGTGTCGTTATTGTTGGCAACGTGGGCTTCGGCAAGACGGCCATCATCTCTCGCTTGGTGGCTCTCAGCTGCCATGGCAACCGCATGAGACAGATCACCTCTGACAGTCCACATGCCTCACCAAAACGTGAGTGGATTCATTCAGACGAAAATCACTAAACTGTGAATATATTTCCTTAAGATTGAATAAAAATTGTATAGTAACCAAAACAAATAATTTTGTCATTATTTATTGACTATTGTGTTGTGACCTCTTTTCATAATATAGAATGTAGATTTAAAATGTATTTTATATTGATATGCACATTATTTTATCAAAATGTGTTTTACAGTGTTTAATATTTTTTCTTACTTTACAAAATAAAAAGAAGAAATAATAAAGACTTCAACAACTTCTTATATCTCACAGTTTTTATAAAAAAATGTTATTAGTAAGCGCTTTGAAATTCTGAATATCAAAATCCTGCAAAACATTTAATTAGCTATGACTGATGAGAATTTGCATCTATGGATATGGTATTTTTATGATTTTAGAATCACAATACTCCACACATTGGTCACGGTGAGTAAAATACATATTACATCACAGACTGTCAAGACAAATTTATGGCTATGGATAAATAAACTCACAGAAAATCAAAGAAAATATAAAATTATACACTACAGGTTTGAATGACATGAGGGTGAGTAAATAATGGCAGTATTTTAATTCCTAGGCGAACTATTTTTTATTGTCTTTTTTTAAAGGGAACAAATATCTTCAGCCCTTAAAATGTCAATGCCATTTTGTCTCAGTTTGTGACAAGGTTCACATCACATGCATGCCATGTCTTCCTCTCAGATGGCGACACACTGCCTTTGAACCAGCCTCAGTCCGCTCACGGCACTCTGGTCGGTGGGAGCAACTGCCCTGGAACGCCCGAGATGCGGAGACGCCAAGAGGAGGCACTCAGAAGACTGGCTTCTCAGGTGCCAACTAATACCAACATAATCAACGGGGCGGGCATATATTCAGCCTGCCGTTCAATCTCCCTCACTCCTCTTCTCTTCTATTGATTTATTATCTCTCTGTCTCCCCATTTCTTCCTTTGTCTCTTTCTTCTTTTATTAATTTGCTCTCTCTCTCTCTCTCTCTCTCTCTCTGTGTTTTGCTTTTCTCTCTATTCTTTTAAGCACAAAGGTTTATTGCGGCTCTGTTGCCTCATCAAATATTTATATGCACAGAGTCTCCCAGCATAGCCATTAGATATACTCAGAGTCTGCATTGCTAATGATGACAAGCTTTTGAACACACACACACACACACACACACACATGAAGTGGTGCCAGGGAAGCAGCAGTCTTAGATTATTGGAATAAGGCCATCGATGCACTCAAACTCCATAATGTTTTATGCATTAATAAAACTCCTTCATCACATCAAAACTCCTGAGCTTTGAATCTTTCTCTAGTTTTAATATTTATTGTGTTTTTGAGCTGAATCCCTGAGACTGGAAATAGTTTTGTCCTTCTTCTGTCTATTTCTTTGTCTAAACCTACTTTTAACAGGTGTCTCTAGCTGTTCCGTCCACCTTTACTCTGTGAAAAGTATGACTAATTTGTGTTTGGCATTTATACAGAAGTAGTGCCTGATGCTCTAATAGTAAATACCCATAATGAATTATAAAATGATTCAAATACATTTTACTATTTTATTACATTTGTTGAATGGTATTTGCCTGTGCAAAGTTTGTTGTCACAATGCTAGGGTGTTGCTTATAATGGTCGATAATTTATTAACATTGAGCCTTTATAAAAGTACACTCAAAGTCTGTAATTGAAATCCAAAGTTAATATCACACAGACCTATGGTTGAATTACAACCATGTTGATATTGCTTTTACACAACAGTTTAATAAAGAAGAAATTAATGTTATACAGTAGTATATAATTGAACAGTAGTACTTGCACTACTGTTCAAAAGTTTAGGGTTGGTAAGATTGTTTAATGTTTTTGAAAGAAGTCTATTAGGTTCACCAAGGCTGCATTGATATGATTAAAAATACAGTAAAAGCTGTAATATTATAACATTTTAATATTTTAAATTGTAATTATTTCTGCGATGCAAAACTGAATTTTCAGCATCATTACTCCAGTCTTCAGTGTCACATGGTCATTCAGAAATCATTCTAATATGCTGATTTAATGCTCAAGAAACATTTCTTATTATAATCAATGTTGAAAACGGTTGTGCTGCTTCATATTTTGTGGAAACTGTGATACATGTTTTTTTTAAGGATTCTTTAATGAATAGAAATTTTTGAAGAACTGCATTTATTTGAATTAAAAATCTTTTGTAACAATTTAAGTATTTACTGTAGCTATTGATCGCTTTGCCGAATAATTTCTTTGAAAAAAAAAAAAATCTGACCCTCACTACTGAACATTTTGAACGGTAGTGTGTATTTCAGATATATTCAAGTTACTTTGTTCTTGCTTCACCAGTGAACCATTGTGTGTCTCTGAGCAATGCAGTAATGGTGTTTCGTTCTTGAAATAATCCGTTTTTAAATCATCATCGAGTGAAATATCAGCACTCTTGCAACAACATGTACCAGTCAAATTCAGTGACTGAAACTGAATGTTGATAAGCAAAGCTAAAATCAGGTTTTACAGGTGCGGTCTCAACCCAAGCTGTGCTGTGAATGTAAATGTTTGTCAGCTTATATCTGCTCTCTCATATCATGTGCAGGTGGTGGCGTACCATTACTGTCAGGCCGACAACGCATACACCTGCCTGGTCCCTGAGTTTGTGCATAATGTGGCAGCGTTGTTGTGCAGGGCTCCTCAGATGCAGGCCTACCGAGAGCTGCTGCTCCGCCAGCCACACCTGCAGAGCACACTCAGCCTGCGCGCCTGCGTCCAGGACCCTTTCAGCGCTTTCCGCAGGGGCCTGCTGGAACCTCTGGAGATCCTGCATCGAGGTGTGTGAGCGTGTTCGTGCACACTCTTATGCTGACATATACAGTATGTAATATTGAAAACATGCAATGTTTACAGAGAGGAAGATTGCGTGTGATGAGAATCTCCTCATTGTGATTGACGGGTTGAATGAGGCGGAGTTCCATAAACCGGATTACGGAGAAACCATTGTTTCCTTCCTGTGCAAAACCGTTGAGCGTTTCCCTCCCTGGCTTAAACTGGTGGTCACTGTCAGAACAACACTGCTGGTCTGTATTCCTTCCGTCCGTCCATCTATCCATACTTCCATCTTTTTTACCAATTGATTCTTATTCATTTTCTCTCTCCATCTCAGGATATATCTCGTCTGTTGCCGTTCCACCGTATCTCTCTGGACCGTCTGGAGGAAAGTGATGCGATTGACTTGGACTTGCAGGGCTACATCCTGCACCGGCTTCACTCCAGCCAGGAGATCCAGAACAACGTGGCACTCAATGGCAAGCTAGACAACGCAGCCTTTGCCAAATTCAGCACTCATCTGAAAAGTCTGAGCCGGGGCTCCTATCTCTACCTGAAGCTCACGCTGGACCTCATTGAGAAGGGTTACCTGGTGCTCAAAAGCTCCAGCTTCAAGGTCAGGGGTCAATCAACACAGATGCCTCCTTTAATTACCTAGTACATCATAGGAGTGACTAGCTAAAATTAAAATTTTAGAAGCTAAAATTCAATTAAAAAGTCAAATAAAAGAAACATTAAAACTAATGAAAGCATTTTTGTATTGTTTGTTTATGTTATATATTTTGTTATTTTAGATTTTCAGTGATGTAAATGGTGGTTTTATTTTTTAAATATGTTTTAAATATTTATTTTATTTTAGCTTTAAGAGTTATTGTTCTTTGTTGTTGTTTTTTTGTATGATTTTATTTTATTTTGTTAATAATTTTTATTGTAGCTTTTCATAGGTATGTAATGTATGTGGTGTTAATTATTTATGGTTCATTTTGCTTCTGTACTTTATGAAAAAAGTAATCGTGTGAATGAAACCCTTTTGGATTTTGCAATTTAAAAGAAAAAAAAAATGTATATATATTTTTTTTTGTCTAAAAGGATTAATATGTTTCATCGTTTTAGCATGTATTTATTGATTTTATTAAAAACTGTAAGCATGATGTTTGTGCGCAGGTGGTTCCGGTGAATCTGGCTGAGGTTTACCTGTTGCAGCTGAACATGCGTTTCCCAACTCAGTCGTCATTCGAGCGCATTCTTCCCCTGCTTAACGTGGCCGTGGCTTCTCTACACCCGTTAACTGATGAGCAGGCCTACAGTGCCGTGAACGCCGGCATGGTGCATGGAGCTGCCATGGACTGGGAGGATTTCCAGCAGAGGTTTGAACTCCTTTCGCCTTTCCTGGTGAAAAGACGTGATGGAACGCGCATGTTCATCCACCCATCCTTCAGAGAGTGGCTCATCTGGAGAGAGGATGGAGAGAAGACCAAGTTCCTCTGTGACCCCAGGTAAGAAGCTTAAGTGTCTTCTGAATATTTCATCAAAATGTAAAAAAAAAAAAAAAATCCTGTCATATATCCAAGTGTAAAATGGGATGTGAACATTGTGTCGATGTCTGAGAAATATAGCTACAATCTCGTATACCCTCATCTTGTCTCTTTTCCCATGATTCTTTAGGAGTGGCCACACACTGCTTGCTTTCTGGTTTTCACGGCAAGACAGCAAGCTTAATCGACAGCAGACCCTCGAACTTGGCCACCACATTCTCAAAGCTCACATCTTTAAGGTTAGGCTAACTATAACAACTGTAAACGTTTTGACGTTGCTAAATGGATTGCATAAACTTGTCTACAGCAGTATATAAATGCTTTTGAAATGGATTTATATTACATTACCATTGATGTTTTTTATTAACTACATTGCCTCTTGGACGCAGGGCCTGAGTAAGAAGGTTGGCGTTTCCTCTTCAGTTCTGCAGGGGCTGTGGGTGTCCTACAGTACAGAAGGGCTCTCTGCAGCTTTGACTTCATTGAGAAATCTCTACACTCCGAACATCAAGGTATAAAAAAAAAAACAGAATTCCCACAGTCATAGAAAACCTGAAAATATCTTCAATTTGAGGTGATTTCCAGACTTGGAAAAGTAGTTTTTTTTGTTTGTTTGTTTGTTTTTTATTATTAATTAATTAATTAATTTATTTTTATGGAAGATCTTTTAAATTCTTGGGAAAATCTTAGATATGTCTACAGTGAATGTACAGTATGCTGCCATTAAAAAGTTTGGGATTAGTAACATTTTTAAGTTATTGTTATTAAAGTTATTAATACTTTTTTAGAGTATTAAGTATTAATACTTAAGTATTTAAAGTATTAACTCTTGAGCAATTTAATGATCAAGAGTTGCTGAATAAAAATAATTGATTTCTTAAAAACATAAACAAACAAAAAAACTTAATGTCCCTGAACTTTTGAATGATGGTGTAATTTGTTTCTAGTTATTTTATCTTATTTTTCTAGTTATTGTTCTGTAATATTTTATCAGTAAGAAATTGTTCATTTCGAGTGTAGTAAACTATAATAATTAACTTTCCTTATTTCTTAATTTTTTAACCCTGATAAACATTTCCACTCTTAATTTTTTGTTCCATCTACTCCTCCATATCCCCATCTTCCTCTCTTCCTCCAGGTATCTCGGCTGCTGATTATGGGCGGAGCTAACGTGAACTATCGTACAGAGGTGTTGAATAACGCCCCCATCCTGTGTGTCCACGCTCACCTGGGCTACCTAGAGACTGTGACTCTGCTGTTGGAGTTTGGGGCGGATGTGGATGGCGTTTCAGAGAGTGGACTCACTCCTCTTGGCTACGCAGCCGGCGCGGGTCACCTACCCATCATCACCACCCTCTGCAGCAAGAAAGCCAAGGTCAGCCATGCAAGGCCTAGATAGAGATGTATAACCAATACGAACGCAGGGTAGTGGCTGTTGATTTTGAGTTGTCAGTCAGTTTCATCTCTGTCTCTCTCTCCTGTGTGCTTCTGTTCAGGTGGATCACCTGGATAAGAATGGTCAGTGTGCGCTTGTCCATGCCAGCCTGCGGGGTCATCTAGATGTGGTGAAGTATCTGGTGCAGTGCGAGTGGAACACAGACGGACAGCAGGCCGGATCCTTCAACAAGAGCCATGCAGTACAGCAGGCCCTCATAGCAGCCGCCAGTATGGGCTATACAGAAGTAAGAGTTTTTTTTTTGTAAGAAATCAATACTTTTATTCAGGATACATTAAACGCATTAAATTGATCAAAAGCATTGGTAATGACAGTGTTATAATATAATAATGCAAGATTTCTATTTTAAATGAATGTGTTTTTTGAACTTTATATTTCTCAGAAGAAAAATGTATTTTAATATGTATGGTATTCTTTAGCTACTATTATTATCTATTCATGTTTTCATATACTTTTTATTTTTTATATAGCATTTTATATTTATTATACATTATAAAATATTACAAATAAATAATATTAATATCTCAGTTTACATTAACTTTGGTAAATTAACTAAACTAAACTAAACTAAAATTTTAAAAAAATCACAGTGTGTAACTAGAATGGCATATTAAAAATAATGTGTGGGTGACAAACACATATACATACACACACAAATAACAAAAAAAATATATATATATTACTAAAAACAACATTTAGCATAGCATACGTCACAACTGCACATCTATCTGTATATAGCTTATCTGTACATATGTAATTTTTGTATTATTGTAAAATTTTTTGCCTTTACATATTTTTAATCCTTGTGTCATATTGCCTTTATCGTTATGTATCTGTACTATGCCTGTACTGAGCTCTTGTCACCAAGACAAACTCATTGTGTGTGTACACATACTTGGCAATAAACCTCATTCTGATTATAATTCTGATTTATTCACAGCTTGTATCCTACCTGCTCGACCTGCCCGAGAAAGATGAGGAAGAGGAGGAACGAGCTCAGATAAACAACTTTGACACACTGTGGGGTGAAACAGGTGCAACACCACCATACAACCTGTTCTCTGGGTTTTCATTTAAATATGAGTGTACAGATTACTCACTAAAGAGACTCTCTCAATATCTCAGCTCTGACAGCAGCAGCAGGTCGGGGGAAGCTGGACGTGTGTCGTCTTTTACTGGAGCAGGGTGCCGCTGTGGCTCAGCCCAACCGCAGGGGCATCGTGCCACTCTTCAGCGCCGTGCGGCAGGGACACTGGCAGGTGAGCGCCTCCTACATCTCAAAAGTTGTTTTTTATTTTGCACGCGTTTTGAATTAGTCTGAAATGTCGGTGTTGGTTGTGCAGATAGTGGACCTGTTGCTGAATCACGGCGCTGACGTGAACATGGCTGATAAACAGGGACGAACTCCTCTAATGATGGCTGCGTCTGAGGGACATCTGGGTACGGCGGAGTTCCTGCTGGCTCAAGGTACAGCTGTACTGATCATACACTAGAATATAAAGGGGCAGGATATATCAGTCATTTTAATAATAGGACACACTGTCAATCAATCCTCTCTAACCTTCTGGCTGCTTTCTAACTTATTTCACAGGTGCCTCATTATCTCTGATGGACAAGGAGGGGCTAACAGCACTGAGCTGGGCGTGTCTTAAAGGCCACCTCCCATTGGTCCGTGCTCTGGTTGAAAGAGGTGCGCCGACGGCCCATGCAGACAAGAGCGGCCGCACTCCACTGGACCTTGCCGCTTTTTACGGCGACTCAGAAGTGGTTGGTTTTATTTTAGTGAACTAATGTAAAGTGGATCTAGTTTGTTTAAAAAGTATACACCTTAAAGGGCAAGTTCACCCATAAATGAAAATTCTGTCATCATTTGCTCACCCTCGTGCCATTCCAAACTTTTATGACTTTCTTTCTTCTGTTGAACACAAAAGAAGATATTTTGAAGAATGCTGATAACAGTTGACGGTAGCCATTGACTTCCATTGCATGGGAAAAAATACTATGGGAGTCAATGTCTGTTTCCAATATTTTTCAACTTTCATCTTTTGTGTTCAACAGAAGAAAGAACCCCACACAGGTTTGGAAAATGTGGAGGGGTGTGTAAAGGATGACAGAATTTTCATTTTTGGATGAACTATAATCTAAATAATCTCCTAAATGGGATGTGTATGCATATGCTAATGGTTTTGAACAGATATCACATAGGGGATATACAGACAATAAACCACAGCTCTGGTCTTGTTGTGGTTCCAGGTGCAGTATCTGGTGGATCATGGTGCGATGATCGAGCATGTGGATTACAGCGGCATGCGTCCGCTGGATCGAGCAGTCGGCTGCAGGAACACATCAGTGGTGGTGGCGCTGCTTAAGAAGGGAGCCAAGATAGGTAGGCTGGAAGGGGATATGTTCTTACAGAAACAATTATTTCTAAACTATGTTCTTGTACAATAAATATTTACTGTGGTGAAATGAGCTAGCCATTGGTTGAATTGCAGGTAAATGTTTGTACACACCTGTTCACACAATTTGTTTTACTGTAAAAAAAAAAAAAAAGAAGATAGATATGTATAATAATTAATTTGGGGTTGTAATGCTGCACTCCATTCAATTTGGAAAGTCAGAATCACCAGCATTCTACTTGGAAAAATCTAAAAAGCTGCTTCAAATTAGACTTCCAAGTTGGAAACTCTTGCTGAATAATTTTGACTGAATAATTTGCTCCGGGAAGAAAATATAACATGGTTCTCTTGGTCATTCTGAAATGCTGGAGCCAAAGATTTTTCTGGCACACTGTTGCTCCTAGACATAAAGCATCTGTCATTGATGGCTAGCAACCATGAAGTTCAAGGAGTGTTTTTCGCTGCAAGCTGTAATCTGCAAGTCATTTATTACATTTAAAAAAGAGCCGCAGTGGCTTTCTCGGGGCCATAACTTCCGTTTCTGTTCCTATTTTTGGTCAGTTTTGTTCTCGTCAACACGTGCTTTATTCGCAAATTGTTTTTGTGAAATTTTTTGCATCATTTTGCAACTCGGATGAAAGCGGAGAAGCAGTATAGCACATTTAGCAAACATGATGTTTCCTTTTTTTTTTTTTGCTTAGTTCTTAATATACACTACTGTTCAAAAGTTTAGGCTTGGTGAGATTTTTGAAAGAAGTCTCTTATGCTCCCCAAGGCTGCATTTATTTGATCAAAAATACCATACAACAGCAATGCTGTGAATTATTAGTAGTAGTATTGGTAGTAGTAGTGTTACAAGTTAAAATGACTGTTTTCTATTTGAATATGTTTTAAAATCTAATTATTCCAGTGCTGGATTTCCAAAGTTGAATTTTCAGCATCAGTGTCACATGACCCTTCAGATATGATTAGTGTTGTTTTTGGCGGCCTGTTTTAATTTAAATTTTAGTCTAGTCCTTTGTGTGAAGCTGTCATTTTATTTTTTATTAGTTTTAGTCACTTTCATACTCTTTTTAGTCTAGTCAAGTTTTAGTCAACTAAAAGTCTGAGCATTTTAGTCTTATTTTAGTCAGAATTATCCATGACTATTTTCGTCTAGTTTTAGTCGGTGAAAACTGATGACATTTTAGTCTAGTTTTAGTCGACAAAAACTGATGACATTTTAGTCTAGTTTTAGTCGACAAAAGCTGATGACATTTAGTCTAGTTTAATCAATGAAAATTGTATTTTAGTCTCTTTTTAGAAATGCAATTCTATTTAACCCAGTCAATAGAGAATAAGTACCTAGTAGTATAGACAAAACCAAAATTTTCTTTTAGCCAAACCCATTTCAAACAAGGTTATCTTATTATATTATTGTTACCTTATAGACTCAAGAATACATCCATTCCAGACACGGAAGACGCTCTGATTTGAATTTACAACATTTATTTTACCAACCAAACATGTTAGAAGTACACACACATAAATTTAAATAAAGACGAACCCCGGCTGGCCGGCCATCGGTCCCTTTCTCTGTGTCAGACTTAACGTTGTTTGTTTTTCATCTTCTAAATCAGTGTTTCCCAACCTTTCTTTAGTCGCGGCACCCTTTAGAAATTTTAACAAATTTGTGGCACCCTACAAAATTAATTTTGTCACAATATTTGAATTTCTAACTTCGATGTGATCATTTGAAAGGTATAGATATCCGGTACAACAGGGAAGAACTGCAGAATATAACGTCATACAGATATTCAGATCACATGAAATTAGCGTCACATGTAGATGTCTTTCTCCTCCATACCCCTCCCTGTGAGCTCAGTCATGCGAGTCTAACCCTCCTTCTCGTGTGCTCTTCGCCGAACTGCAGAACTCCACTGATCTGCAGCTGATCAGGATGGGCTTATTGCTTTTGCTAATATTGCTACTTGCCACGGCTTCTCACGGCTGATCTTCCTTGTTCTTCCTTTCACGTCACTCCTTCACCCCTAACCACCAACTATCAATCTCTCTTGTTCTCTTCCCTTGACTCTCTATTACATTCTCCGTTTTCATAAACCTTTGCTCCCTGTCTGATACGGATGCCCTTCCCATGATGCTTCACTGCCCCAATAACCTGTCACCCTTTCACTCGTGACCCCTCCCACCACTTCTCTCCTTGTAACCAGGATGTCAGACACTCCCCACTCGTGCCCGAGGTAAAACGCAGACCTTTGTGCGCCCCATCTGCCATTTTTGACTGTGTCCCTCCATCTCGTTACCTGTGTGGTCCCTTCTCCATTGATCGGGTCTGTTAGTGTTTTGGGTGCCCAAATGTGAAAGGCATTTAATCTTCATATCATTCTTGGCTACAATGAAAAGAGCTGCTATCAGCCATAAACATGGGTGGAGTTTGTGTCATTCTGTATTGCAAAATTCTGATGGTTGATTCTTTTTGTTCATTTTGTTTGCTTTTTTGCTTGCATGGCTGCATGTAGGAAAACCAGTGTTGCATTTTTGCATGATGTTGCAGAATGTTTCTACATGCTGAGTGTTTTGCGCTTTTGGGTAGCGTTAACACAGAATGCATCCTTGCACTGTTTTGTAACTGTTTTTCTATGTAATCATGTGCTATAGAGTTGTATTTGACTACTGACAGTGTCTTCAACATTGTATTTTAAAATGTTGTAACAAGTGAAAAGAAGTTACAAACTTATGAGATACCTACATTTGTTTTTTTGTTTGTTTTTTTCCATTGGCTGTCATATTGCGATAGACGTCTTTCAGTGCTGTGATGCTTATTTTGCAGCATCTTGCGCCATTAGCACCACATTTTAATATGATGTATCAAGTTAAAAGTTAAAAACTCATCTCGAGATAGCTTCATTTAGTTCTATTCCATTTTGCTGTCGTATTGCGATGGATGTCTTTCATTGTTGTGATGCTTCTTGCTGTTTTTGCTGCATCTTACATCATTAGTGTTACATTTAATATGCTGCGTTAAGTTGAAAGAAATTAAAAACTAATCTTGAGATGCCTGCATTTGGTTGTAGTCTGTCGCGCGGTCGTATTGCAATGGACATCTTTAATGTTGCGATGCTTGTTTTGCAGCATCTTGTGCCATTGGCATCACATTTTAAGATGCTGTGTCAAAAGAAGCTTAAACAATCATCTTGAGATGCCTGCATTTTGTTCAATTCCTTTGTGATGTTGTATTATAATGGCCTCCTTTAAACGTTGCAATGCAGCTATTTGCGCCATTAGCGTTGACTATTAAGATGCCGCTCATGAAACCGTCATTGTTCTATTCTGTTGCAATGCCACAATGGCATAGACGTCTTTGACCGTTGTGCTCATTTTCAGCATCTTGTCACATTTTTAAGATGCTGTAGTTTTAAAAAGCATCTCAAGACGGCTGCTTTCTGTTCTGTTCTCCTGGATTCTCTGCTGTATTACAGTGGGCATCTTTGATTGTTGCAACTCATCTTACTGATTTTTAGCACATTGTGCCATTAGCTCAGACTTTGAAGATGCTGTATAAAGTTAAATACGCGTCTTGAGATATCTGAGTACTGTCCGGTTCTGTTGTGCTGCAATTCTGTATTGTGTCTAGCTGTTTTTGAATGCAAGAATGCATCCTGTGTGAACAAATGCCTTCGTTTTTTCCACAGTTGCTGTCAGTTTGGCTTTTTCGGGCTGTTGGCCAGTTTGGTACCTGATCCTTGGTGTGTCTTAGCGTGTTCTTGACTACTCCTTGCATTAATTGTACTAAATCACTGCCTGCCTGCATACTGCAACTGGCTGCCCATGGCGAAATCTACAGCTCTAATGGACCACTGTCAATCTTTTATTCCCACCCTCCCTCCACTGTACATTCAGTCCAAACCAGTAGAAACACATGACCTCCACAGAGAGCTAAAAACATGCTGAATGCAAGTTCAGTAGCTGTTGGACTCAATGTTTTTATTGCCAGTATAAACGGATTTCAATTTCGGCAAGGTATAAACAGCAAAGCTGCTCGTGATTTTTTTTTTTTTTTGTCTGGTGTGTTGCCATGGCTTTTTGTGATATCCAAAAGTTGTGCATAGACTTTGCCTCCTTTTAAGCAAGATATTCTGGCAGCCTGCTCATTCCGTTGTTCCTCTGAGATTAGCAAGCTAGTTTTTGCCCATACAGACTGTCAATCTGTGCTGACTCTTTGCTTTGCCCATTGTTTTGCACTCAGGTCCTGCAACATGGGCAATGGCCACATCAAAACCTGATATTATGATCGTTCTGTTGAGCAAACTGATAGAGGAAGGAGATGGATTCTACAAGGTGAGCTACATTTTGAATATTCAGTCAAAGAAGTGTGTGTGTGTGTGTGTGTGTGTGTGTGTGTGTGTGTCAATTTGAGTTGAATTACTGAAATAAATGAACTTTTCGACATTCTAATTTATTGAGATGCACCTGTATATATAATAGTGTAGTTTTGTGTGTTATTGCATTTGTTTTTATTAAACTGTGCTATATCATAAACAAATAATATATTATGAACAAACTCGAAAGTAAGAATGTCTTGCTGACCCAGAAAGGAAAGGTGAAAGAAGCCGCCCAACGATACCAGTATGCCCTGAAGAAGTTCCCACGAGAGGGTTTCACAGAGGACCTGAAGACTTTCCGTGAGCTCAAAGTCTCTCTGCTGCTCAACCTCTCCCGTTGCCGCAGGAAAATGAACGTGAGTCCAAAGCACTCGGTTTCATAAAGCTTTCCTCTTTCTGTCTCTCTTTACTCGTAGAGATGTTATGATTAAGCATTGAGATTGCCCTGACCACAATAATTTAGATCGGTCACCTCATATTGTTTAGTTTTTGACTTTTAACCTGTTGGTCATTCCTAGAGTTATGGGACTCATCCACTGATAACTGTGTCTGGTTGGCCTTATGCTAAAAACAGCATTGTCAACATAATATTTAAATTGAGATAATTATATTAATGAACATTTTTCTGTTTTATATTTAAACATTTTTAATTCAGTGAATTATTCAAATATATATTTTTAAATTGTATATTCATTTTTTATTACTTTTTAGCAATTACATATGTTTCTTTTTTAAATCTAATTATTTATCATTATATACAGTATTAGACAATATTTGTGGTATGCACTATTAAGGGTAGACAGCATATTTGTATATCATGAAATTGTTACATTTGATATTTAAAAACTTTGATATGGAAAAAATAAAGTGACTCAAGGAATTGCGACACTGTACACTTTACTGTTAAATTAAATATGGTGTCTACCCTAACTAAAGTCCATGATATCTGTGTTAAATTAGCCACTGACCACCCTGTAGAAATTGACTTTCAACCACTAGCAGCAAGTATGCTGTAAATCTCCTTGTTTACAAGCATCCATGCAACGGCAACTACCTAACCAACAAACTGCATATGTTAGTTTTGCGTTTGGCCTGTGTTCTTAATTGCTTTTGAAAACACTTAAGACCAAAGCAGTTGCGGAACAAGGATTGTAAAGGCAGTATTGATGTATTAAGATATATTTTGATCTTCCCATTTTTTCTCCTTTATGGCTACATTATTTCTCATTTTGATATCACCCAAAGAACTTTTTGAGTTTGGATTTTCAAACCTCCATCCTCTGGATGGAGAAATCCTCTTGAAATCTCCCAATACACTCTGCTCATGGTGTAGTTTTTCTTCCCATCATACTCTCATCCTTGTTTCAGTTCGATTTGTTGGTTCATCGGGTTTTTCTGACATTAGTTGGATTTGTTTAATTGCTAGGTTTAGTACAGGAAGAGGTTTGAGCTGTCACACTGCATCTTCCCACTGTCCCTGTAAAGCATATATTTGTATGTGTGTGTCAATACATTTTATAAGTGTGTACAAGCATTTCCATTATTGTATGTCTGTTTATCATGTTTGCACTAATGGTGCTCAAAATATGTGTATTTTGGTGTTTATTTTTGTAATAATCAGTGTTCACATCCTCATATAAATGTGACATGTTCATGTTCAACCAGAGTGTGTGTGCATAAGTGATGTAAGAGTCTGTGTGTGTGTGTGTGTGTGTGTGTGTGTGTGTGTGAGTGTGTGTGTTTGTACACATGTCTGCATGCACATGTATGTGTGTGTGTCCTCCCTCTGACCGGCTCAGTGTATGACTGTTGGTCCTGTTGTTGCTTGCAGGACTTTGGGATGGCGGAGGAGTTTGCCTCCAAGGCACTAGAGTTGAAACCCAAATCCTATGAAGCCTATTACGCACGAGCCCGTGCCAAGCGCAGCAGCAGGTAACCGTAGCAACCAACAGGCAGGACAGCCTTTAAAACACATTCTGTCTCTAGCACAGATAAAGTGCTGACAGATGACCCAAACTGGCCGAATATATTTCGAGTGGTTGACGTAGTGCTATGCTAGAGTTTCAAGGTAGAAGTCAATTTAAGCCCCTTGACTTCTGCATCATCAGATGTCAACAGCAGGATTAGACCTGTTCTTCATACTTCATGTTTTGTTGACCAATCAGATTAATTTTCCTCAGAATGTCCATCATTCATATTTTATTCTTTTTTTTCTCCCCACGATTTTGTTTGCTTTGACTCTCTGTGCCCAGAACACATATCAACTTGCTTGGTTTTGGAAAACCAGAGGTTTTTTGGGTCTATGATTTTGATTGATAGGTAAATTACTAAAGAAATGTTCCGGGTTCAATACAAGCTTGTTAACTTTGATGTTTCAATGAAAGTCTGTGGGTATCCCAGAAGAACGAAAAATCAGAAGAAAAAAAAATCAATTGACTTGCATTGAACTCTGAATATTTCTTTAGCAATAGTTATTTCTTAGACTTTACCAGTAAGTTACTTTGTTAACAAGCATATTTCTTTATTTCTCTTTTCATACTGCCATATTCCATCTTATTACTCTCTCTCATTCTTGGTCTCCCTCACTATAGGCAATTCCACGCAGCCCTGGAGGACCTGAGTGAAGCTGTGCATCTGTGTCCCAATAACCGTGAGATCCAGCGCCTGCTACAACGTGTAGAAGAAGAGTGTCATCAGGTTGAACAACAACAGGATCTGGATCCGCCTCCTTCCCCTCCCCGTGATCAAGCCCCATCCAATGTCCCACCGCCTCCAATGGAGCCCCATATTTCACACATGGAGCCAGTCCAGGACTTGTTTGAGGAGGAGGATGATGATTACCTTGAGCGGGATTTAGATGGCCTACCGCTTGGTGTTCCTGCTGAGCCCCACACTATACTATCGGGACTTCCTGTCATTCAAAACATGCCTCCATCTCCGAGCCATCATGATTCACCCTACTTGGGCCAAGCGTATGACCTTCGCCCCAGTCCCCCTTCAATGTCCTCTCCTACTAGGCAAGGCTACCAATCCTCTTCTCCATCGCTCTCACCAACGCACCAGAGCTCACACTTTCGGCCCAGTCCCCCTCATCAGGCTTCCTACCACTTCAGCCCACCACCATCACCATTACGCCGTGGACCACAGTATCGCGCCAGCCCTAACTCTGAGGGAGTCGCCATGTACCGTCCGCAGTCCGCCTCTGCAGGATGGTACCAGCAAGACCAGCTTGCAGGGCGACCCAAGTCCCCTCTGTCCAAGATGAGCAGCCAACGTTCTTTCCAATTTTCCCAACAGACTTCCCAGCCGTCACAACAGACCCAGTGGCTGCAGCCAGCCAAGGCACAGATCGTCCGCACCAACCAGCCCAACACTGCGGTACACTCCAGTGCCATACTGGGTAGTAGTGCATACAGTCAGATTGCTCACTCAATGAGCGCCCGCTGCCCAGGAGACATGGATGAACTTGGGGATGGAGGGTACTCTTCCTCACTTCAACCTCAGGGCAGTCTGAGTGCAGGGGCCTTGTACCAGCGTGCCATCAGCATGGATCCTGGCCTTGTGGAGGACGAGCTTCCCCAGAGGCCCTCCTCTGCTTACAGACCCAATCCTGGAGGAGTCCGTTACGCTCAGACACCACAGATCAGCCGCAGTCAGTCAACCGCCTACTATCCAGTCTCGCCTCACGAAATTGAGCGACAGGTGACTCTGGGTTCACCAGAGAACCTTCAAGCCCACCGGCGTCCAGTTAGTGCGAATAGTGCTGAACCCAAACAGCACCCACCAGCTCCACGCCCCCTTATTCACTCCCACAGTACGGGTCTACGCTTCTCTCCATCCAGCAACAGTTTGGTGGCAGGTTCCGCTGCTAACCTAGGCCCAGGGTTCAGGCCGTCAGCTGCTGCGCAGCAAATGGAGATCCCTCTAAATCTTTCCTATGAAGGCAGCTACCATGATGACCTTTCACCAGAGTCACCCCCACAAGGCACAGACTTCGGGGTGGTGGGTGGAACATATCCAGGAGAAGCGCTTCGCTCCCGCGCCACGCCTTTCATGGGCATTATTGACAAGACCGCACGGACTCAGCAGTACCTTCAGCAGCAGCCTTCGTTTGCATCATCCTCTTCGGGTTCTCGACCATGGACCGTTTCTTCACTGGATACGGTGGTGAACAGTCCAGCCACTTCCCCTAGCAACATGGGCTACGGGCAGCAAGCAGCACCCCTCAGCCATATTGCGTACTACAACCGCACCAACAACGCTCACAATGGTCACCTCATGGATGACGATTTCTACATCAACTCCCCTGGTGTGACGCGGGACCGGGCGGATGCTATGGGCCGAGTTAGCCAGATTCCCACATACCCAGATGTGAAAGTGGCACGGACTCTGCCAGTTTCCCAGGCCTACCAGGACAATGAGTTTAGGCAGATGTCTCGAAATGAAAGGCAAGGCCCAACCTCACCCATTAAACCAAAGAGACCCTTTGTGGAGTCTAATGTGTAAGAATAAAGAGTCAGTGTGCAAGATTTATTAGAACATTCTCGAGGAATATCTGACATGTTGACCAACTTATCTCTTCGTTTTACGTCCCATATCTTGATAATGAAAATACAGACCTCTCAAGGTGAATTTCACCGATGTGAATCTAGTGATTCTAGCATGTACAAATCAAATGCATCTATATTTGCTCTGGACACAAAAATGGAAGTATCAGGACCAATTGGAGTTATAGTAGGCCTGTGTAACTGCTGTACACCAACCTTCTACTTTTCTGTAACTTCATGAGAGGGTGGCTGCTCAATGCCAGTCATGAACACATTGCTGAGCATGGCCCCTGCACCAGACATCCCCACTAATGTCCTCACTCAGACCAGTAATAATCCCGGAGAATCTTGCTGTGTCTCAAGTTGAAAATGTACCTAAAATATTCCAGATCAATATTACTAAAGCAAAAAACTAATATTTAATATTTTAAGTTATGTTTGTATAAATATATATGTATACACCTAAATTTCAATGCAGTTGTGTTTTCAGTTTGCCTTGAGTTGACATGCACTCAGCAATGTGAAATATTTTTAGACTTTTTTGGGGCATTTTAATTTTTTATCAACAGGATCGCTACCTTTAACGCAATGCAAATATCTGTAATGTTTGGTTAATAATGTCACATCTGCTCAAGGGAAGTAGCATTCAGGTGGTCAGCCGTTAAATAACTTGCTCTATAGTAGTCACACCACTAAAGCGGAAATTGTCTTTTCCAAAGAAACTTTTCTCATGGGAAGTAGGTGTGGGGAAAACTTTTTTGCAGCCTCAGAATCCACATGCTCTCATTTATTATGTTTTGAGAGTTTATTTGTGCACTGAAACATGCCTTCAGAATGTTTTCCCTGTTTGTTTAAAACTGTGAGTACTTCCTTTCAGATATGGGAAACCTGACTTGATGTCCAAGCCGTAGGTCAGGCACTTTTTTGTTTTTTACGGATGTCTTGGTGGCATATTATGGGAAGACTGTGGCAAGTCAGATTCACTCACTGGGTCTGGCTTTACTAATCAATGTTCAACTGCTGTTGAAGAAGAGCAGGTCTTTTTTGCAGTGTTTTAATTATTATTATTTTTTCTCTCTTTTTAAAGTTATAAGAGGTGCACTCAGAGTTGACCTGGAATACTGCTTACTGTACAACAGTGTTTGCATTTAACTATTTGTTTTCCTTTTGTATGACCAAAATGTAAATGGCTGTAAATAATGTGCTGAACTAGAACGCATGCTCTCTGCTAATACACAAACCTGAGTGTGTGTGTGTGGTTTTGTGTATGAGGGAAAAGACTGGCACAATATATTTCCTTGTTTCCCTTATTAGATAAAAAAAAAAAAAGAACAGATGAAGTTTAGGTTTTGTATGTATTTTGCTTTAATATTTGGCTTTGTTTAGAACTGGGTTTGTGAAGGAGGATTCTCTGTAAATGTGAGCCGTGATGTTTTCTGGAATGGAAAATCAGAACCGTGAATGAGGACTTTTTATCCAGCAGTTAAACGATTGTAAAACTGTACAGTCATCTGTATGTATGAGGGAAATAATAACTTATTTAAAAAAAGAATACCACTTCAAAGAAATTGAGCTGAAATAACTTTCCATTGAGTAACTTATTTTTCATGAATTTATTGTTTAAAATCACATTGAACTTCTGAAGCAAACACATACTTACTGATATTTTACATCAAACTGAAAACATAGTAAAACATATTGCATTACACAATACAAACATGCCAACACAAAAATACAGTACAAAGGCACCTACAGATCATTTGAACACTCTTTCAGATGGAAAGACAGAATGTGTGTGTTTACAGCATAAACACACAAAACAGTGTAAAACAGTATTTCTCCTCTTCAAGCTGATTTTAATAACCAGCACATGGGAAACAGCAAGACAAGCACCACACTACGTACAAGACTTTCATTATTAAACTGCTCTGTTTGGATAACAAATTAGACTTTTTTTCATTTAAATAATATAAATGAGATTTTTTTTCTTTTCAGATCATGGATATTAGAGATTTCGCTATTCGCAATCCAACATTTTTCAAGTATTTTTCAGTCTTTTTTGCAGGTAGAGCTGTAATATATTTGCATATGTGACCCTGGACCACAAAACCAGTTTTAAGTCGCTGGGGTATATTTGTAGCAGTAGCCAAAAATACATTGTATGGGTCAACATTTATTGATTTTTCTTTTATGCCAAAAATCATTCGGATATTAAGTAAAGATCATGTTCCATGAAAATATTTAGTAACTTTCCTACTGTAAATATATCAAAACTTAATTTTTTAGGGTTTTTTAAAATTAGTAATATGCATTGCTAAGAACTTAATTTGGACAACTTTAAAGGCGATTTTCTCAATATTTAGATTTTTTTGCACCCTCAGATTCCAGATTTTCAAATATTGTCCTATCCTAACAAACCATACATCAATAGAGAGCTTATTTATTCAGCTTTCAGATTATGTATAACTCTAAATTTGACACTTATGACTGGTTTTGTGGTCCAGGGTCTCACATAAATACGGCATAAAGCAGGTTTCTGCATATAATGATAAGTTTAGTCTGTAACATAAAATAAATGCTGAAAATCCTGTAAGGGAAAGTTACAAACATATACTGATAATAAACATTTGCTGATGTAGTGCTGTGCCCTCTGATTCTAAACAATAATAATAATTATCATTATAGAGTATTTCAGTTTTGCAGTACAGTCTGGTCCAAATAAATGTTAAGGCACAAGAAAGTACATCCTGAATCTAATACATTTACAGACACAGTATATACAACTCTATTTTTTTCATGTTAATTTGGTTTGGCACAATTAGAAATTACTTTAAAAATAAATCCTAACCCTCAAAACAATGAATTAAAAAATATATATATATAACATTTAATTACTCCAATAATAACAATAAAAAAAAATTCAGTAGCCTACAATTTAATTCTGTCACAACTTCTTGGTGTCTCTTGCTGAGTAACTTAAATGTTAAGGATGGGGGAGACTGCAAAGGGAGGAACTGGCTGACAGGTTTGCTAGGACACCAGTAGGAAGGCAGATTTTGGAGAGTATTAAGACATTAAGGAGAACTGGGGAACATTTAATTACTCCAATAATAACAATAAAAAAAAATTCAGTAGCCTACAATTTAATTCTGTCACAACTTCTTGGTGTCTCTTGCTGAGTAACTTAAATGTTAAGGATGGGGGAGACTGCAAAGGGAGGAACTGGCTGACAGGTTTGCTAGGACACGAGTAGGAAGGCAGATTTTGGAGAGTATTAAGACATTAAGGAGAACTGGGGATTTCTCCTTCCGACAGGGTCTTAAAGTGCACGGATAGAGCCTCCTCCTCGGGATTCGGTGGTCGCCTAAAATCTTCTCTTGTCACCACGTAACCCACCAAGACCCCAAAGCACACCAGCAACAAGCCTAAAGTGTTCGCCAGGACCCCCTCACCAGTAAACCTGGAGTAAGTTTCCCTAAGAACAAGAATTGTACCATAAAATTGTCATTGTTAGATGAACAGAAAAACACTGTAGTAGCTTGCACATCTTAAATAACACAAGCTTCAGATCCACTTCGACCAAAACACTCATTTAATAAAGATTTGCTAGTTATGTCAGTCTGGGGGAATTATTATTTTTTTCCAGATGCGAGAAGAGTGTTTATTTATGGATTAATAATGTTAATAATCATAAGTGCATTACATTAAATCCTTTAAGTATTCATGATTTCTGCAGTAAATGAGCATATAAGGAATATTATCTTGAATTTGTGTGTAAGATTCCCTTTTAGGTGATTAGTTCGGTAGATATGTCTGTGTGCAAGGATTGAATTGTGGTTGCTGCTGTAACAATATAATTTCCTGTGAAGGATTAATAAAGTATTTACTACTAATAATAATAATAAAACAGCATTTGATGCCAAATATCATTGCTATTCATTGAAAGTCTCTTTCCACTGTGACATTCCTTTCCCCTGTTCAAAATGTTTACCTCAGCTTAGTGACATCAGTTGTTATTTTTCATATATTTCAGATGCATGCACTGACACTCACATGATACTGAAGAGCAGTTTCTCTGTGATTCCCAGCAGACAGGATCCCACAGACATGGTCAGCAGCAACAGGCCAAAGAAGGCGTGCAGCGGGAGATACCAGCTCCTCAACTGAGCAGAGGCCCATGGGAAAAGGAAAAATCCCAGTCCCAGTAACCACTGGAGGAAATGAGAGGAGAAGCAGTCACTCCAAAGACCACTTGACGTGATGTATTCTGCTGGCCTCTTCAAAATGTTTTAAGATCAGGTCTTCTCAAATTATGAAAAAAAAGTATATAAACGAGTAATAATCTATTTTAAGCAGACATATTATGCCCCTTTTTACCATATGTAATATAAGTCTCTGGTGTCCACAGAATGTGTCTGTGAAGTTTCCGTTCAAAATATTCCACAGATCATTTATTATAACATTTTGAAAATGCCTATTTTGAGTGGAAGCAGAAGCACGCTGTTTTTCAGGCCTGTCTCTTTAAATGCAAATGAGCTGCTGGCTCCCCGCCCCCTTTTCCAGAATAGAGCTGTGCCATTCAGCTCGTATCTGATAAAAACATCCGTTTTGGTTCTGATTATCATGTTTATCGCGCTGAAATCATGCGTTTTAAACCATATGAGTTTAAACTTCTGATATACAGTTTTCTGAGCGCACACGGACAGAAAGCGGCTGTCACAGCATGCGAATACTAAACGAAGTTCTCATTCACACACACGTTTACGTTAAAAACACACATGAGTAACAAAAGCAGTAGGTTATGTCTGTGAAGATAAACAGCTGGGAAATAAATTGCATGTTTATTTTAGATCTGTGTGGCAGCAGTAATATACAGTAAATAAATCAATAAATCCTCTGCTCTCTCGTCTCCTCTGAGGCTGGGACTCTAAACAGTGTTCTGTGCAGCCAAAGACAGATCAGTTAGCATGTTTTGCTCAAACTTTCGCCATGGCGTTAGAACTGTAACGTTGTCGCTTACGAAATCAAATGACGGTGCCATGGGTGGAAACTTACAGATTAAGGGGCGGTTATATTATAATGAGATCCCTTTGCAACATCACCAAGGGAGCGGAATCAAGACGCGCTAGTTTTCTCAGACACTTGCAGAAAAAGGCTTACAAAAACAAAGTTACTGGGTGAATCTTTTTCACGTGTCCTTGGTTGGTAGATGCACCGGGCACCTTATTATAGCATTTAAAAACCACGAAAAGTTAGATTTTCATGATATGTCACCTTTAAAAAAAACAATAATGTTAAAGAAAACTATATATATAAAGAAAAAACTTTTTAGTATTTTTTAAAATTATTATAACAATTTTCATATTTAAATAAAATAATCCTATTTTTTTTAGCTGTATGTAGAGTATGAAGTGGACTAGTAGGTTTCAAGGCTGGTTTTCCATTCTGTATAAATATATCCATACAATAAAAACGAATGCAAACACTAATGGCAATGTGCTGATGTTAAGTGATGTTAGCAGTGTAATGGATGTGAACACAAGGGGGTCTGCTAATGCAGAGTTTCCAAACCACATACACTCAGTTGTTCAAATAAGGAAGAAGGAAAATGTTTAATGCCAATGCTGGTCAAAATGAAATTACTGCATATTACCTGTATGAAAAACAGCACAAAAGTGAGCATGCCACACCAGCTGTGCAGAGAATACATATGAGAGATCTTAGCTGACGAATGGAAGTCAAATACGGCCACCAGACCTAAGAAGAGAGAAAGAAAGAGATATTATACAGTATAAATAGATATCTATTTAAATATATGATTATAATTTAAAATAGCTGTTTTAGACGTTAATATATTTTAAAATGTAATTTATTCCTATGACGGTAAAGCTGAATTTTCAGCATCATGACTCCAGTCTTCAGTGTCACATGATCCTTCAGAAATCAGTCTAATATGCTGATTTGCTGCTCAATATACATTTCTTATTATTATCAATGTTGAAAACAGTTGTGTGGCATAATAAGGTTCTTTAATAAATAGAAAAATAGTATTTATTTTACTTAAAAAAAAAAAAAAAAATCTTGCTGACCCCAAACTGCTGTATTGGTGTTGACTTCTGAAAATGCAAATATAGTTATCCTGTGCCTTGTGAACGTGTTTATGTGAGGGAAATTTTAGTTTTCCCCTTATTTAACGGTTCAAATGGCACATTAGACATGGGAAATTGTGACCGCAGCAGTTGTGAATTACAGCTAAAATCTGTGTCGCTGAACAAATACCCAACAAAACAACAGTGCAGCCAAACGTCATTTACTGCCGAGCAGTGTTTTTCTTCTAACCTGTTAGCAAACACATGCTGAACTTACCCACAATACTGATGATAAGGGCCATCATATGCAGCAGAGCGTGGAGAATTTTCACTGAACGCTTAGTCTCGTTTCTAAAGACACGATAAACCAGAACAGCTGCGGTAGAGAAAGAACAAGAAATAACAAGTCATATTTTCACATGTAAAAAGATTAGCCAATCATGAAAGCATTACAAGTATA